AAGAGACGCCCGAGGGAAGCGGAATTCCCGATTGAACCCCAGACGGAGCGATCAGAACGAACCCGGCTGACAAGCAAACTGTGCCGGCCCCGGGGGTCAGAGCCGGGCCCAGACACCGCGGCGCTGTCAGCCCGTAATCCGGGGTTCTAGGCTGAGAACTGCGGGGCGGGAACTCTGAGGGGAAAACCGAACGATCCAGACCCGTAACTCGAGCCGAGAGCGCCGGGCACCCCCAGCAGGGCAGAGCCGGACCCTGGGAAGCAGCCAGGGGTTCGCTGGAACCCAGGCACGGAGCAGGGCGTTGCCATTCCCTCCCTGCGGGCCCCTGCTGAGCCACAGGGCGGGGGGATTTATTATTATTATTATTTAAATACTCTAAATCAAATGGCTTACGGACCTTCCTGCCTCTCAGCTAGGAACTGCTCTTCTCAGAGCACACACAACAATAGTAGAAAATAATTACCTGCATTTATTTCAAAGGTTGGTTTGGGTTTTGTTTTTTTAATGCACACCAACGGATTCTATTAACGTACGTAGCAGCTTGGAGATCATGTAATTCAAAAGGATTAAACATGACTTAAAACAATTGAAAAATATTTAGAGCAACCTGGCTAAGTATGAGTGGAAACAATTTATTTTCTATGTAGTTTTTAGTAATGTTCAACCTGCTCAAAAATTGTTTATTAATTCAGTTGAACACCTGATGTTTGCTTCTCCAATTCACATTAACTAGTTACAGCAACATGACATTATCTGACAATAGCCCTCTTGACCAGCTGTACATACTTAGTCTCTGCACAAGCTGCTGCTACAGTAATTATCTCCCTCCCAGAAGTCATATCAAACATTTTTGTAGTTATTTACTAATAATTTAATTTATCCCTGGCTTAGATGTTCCCAATTGAGAAAAGTAAACCATATACACCACATTAAAACTTACTTGAGATACTGCCCCCATCTAGAGGCAAACAAGCAGCATTTAATCCTTCTATGTAGTTACAGGTTAGGGGTCTTTTTCCTTTAGCAGAATATTTAGTTTTGAGCTAGTTTTAAGGCTTAACCAGCTACAAACAAACAAGCAAAAAAAAGCAGCTCCTGTGTAATCATGCTCCCATAACCAGAGGTTTTTTTCCCTTTTAATACAGAATGCATGACTGTCCTTGAAGTCCACAGAAGGCAAAGCTCTGCATTCACAGCAAGCAGTCCTAAACATGCACAAGTTCCAATCAACAATATAGGAGGTCTTTGAGTGGACTTTGTGCTTCATTGAGCCATGGCTGATAAGGATACCAGGTGACTATAATAGTGTTAAATATTTTGTTAATATTTAACTACTAATAATTCAGTTGACAGTTTCTATTTAGTACTAGCCTTCCTTATTTAGAAGGCAAATAGACCACATGACATGGTTACTGGTTTACATTTTCAAAAAGAAGGGATTATTGCCCCACAGGGAATACTTTTTGTCTCTTTGTTCAGACACACAATCCTAGTAACATCCCAGGACTTCTCTAGGTTCAACATCCTCCTTTACTGATGTGTCAGTTCCTATATTTAATTTTTAAAATATACTGTTCATAGCTGTAAACAGTAGAATCCCTGCAATTTTGAAGTGAAGTTGGAAGAGCCAACAACATTCTAGCTACTATCTTATGCAACAATCAGTAAGTTTTGATCCTGGATTTAAGATTAATTTCATTCTTATCCTCAGTGAATGCAGAGCCCTGCTCAAATCACCAAGGTAATTATGATTGCAACACTAGATCAGAAAAAAAATTGTTCACCAGATTAAGTGTGTGAATGGCTGCACACAAAAGTTTTGGCTTAACTGATAGCTGCTACTCCTCATTCCACTCATTAAACTTTACACCTCATAATTCAGTTTACAAGTGAAACTACAGGGGATCAGACAAAGCTATTACCTCTGTTAAAAGCAATTAAATGAAAAAAAATCCTTGCAATGACACTGAACCAGGGTTATGTACATTTTAAGGGAGGAGTTTGGCTTTTTTTTTTTTTTTTCTCAGACCATTGTAACAACCCAGAGATACCACCTTGCAGTTCCTCTAAAAGGAGAAAACACTTGTATACACCTCATAAAAACTGCATTAGTGAAGAAGTAATTACCTGACTGATCTTCAAGTTAAGTCTTCGTCTAACTTGGCTGAAAAACTGAGAACATTGGGAAAACATTTTAAAAAATAGTATATGCATAGAAAAGCACAAAGTTACTCCAGTAATTTACAAGAGAACATTGAAAGACATTTCAAGAGTTCATAAGGAAGTACAGTCACGGTGTTCTAAGTAAATATTTTCCTTAAATCCACCTCTAGTATTTTATTAGGTGTGGCAGAAAAAACAATTGTACATTTAAATTGTAAGACCTACCCATATTTGCCAATGGTGGACTCAGACTCTTAGTTCAAAAACAGAGGAACTCTTGAGGAACTTCTCCACTCAAGAATCTTAAGTATCATTCCTTTTAATACAAATCTTTTCCTATGTTCTACTTCTCAGTTATATACAAATGCAAATTTGTTGCTATTTTAGAAATCAGAGTATTTGTTAATCAACGGGGAGGTTCGGTGGTGATGGGCCCCCATCAGCCCCCAAATGCTTCAGCATTAGGAAAATAATTCCCAACATCAATAGACTAAAAATGCCTCTTCTTAGACTCATCATATTACATAATTTGCTACTGTGAAAAAAGTACTGTTATACCAACATCACTATTTTTACTTGTCTACTTATAAAATCTGAGATTCCAAGTTATTCCAAAATAATGATGAAAATTTACAAGAATAACTGTAAATTGCGTATTTACACTATAAACAAGTTCTACTACATTTGTAACCGTGCATCAATAGTTTAACATGGGTATTTTAAAAGCACCGTTACAAATCAAAGTATTGCACTGGTATAATAAAAATTCACAGTAAGTTTAACTTCCAGACCTCAGTAAAACAGTGCAAGAGCTTTTCATTGTGCAAGAGCTTATTATCCAAACATTCCTGGGTTATTAAAAATAAAAATTTAAGAAACTCTATATTACATGCTGCAGTGATTTTTCTGTAATTCAGGTTTGTTTCTCTTGTAGTTCTCACTTCTTAAGACATCTAATTTATGTATTGAAATGGTGAAAAAACCCACAAAATCTATCCAGTACAACACTGAAATGGGTGTGTTTGGCAGATATGGCTCCATGTCCATTTTACAGAGTCCACAGTGGTCGCAGAGACGATTCCATAATGCGAGAATCCCACTGGATTGAGCAGGGAACTGTTTTCCATTTTTACAGCACTTCCCTCACTTCCAGAGGCAGCAGCTTTGATAGTCATGTCTTCATCAGGTCCTGAAGGTAACACATTGAGAAAAGGTTACTCCAAAATAGTCTTAGAACAAATAGTCAGATTAAACTCTTAAAATGTTACTTGAAGTCAGTCTCAAAACTATTTTTCGTCATGTTTAATAGGCAGTTGGGACACAAAGGAAAGACCCATCAAGTCAAAAGCCCATCTCCAATGGTGACCAAGTGTGGATGTCTCTACAGGTGTGAGAATACAGCTTGTAAGTAATGCCTCCTCAGGACATTTATCTCAACTGCCACTCACTACCCCAGGTCTTCCTAAGCCACATATATTATCATGGCATCTCTTCTGTTTTTTCCTCTGGCTTTCAAATCAGTACATTTTTGTCAGGCTCAAGGATCCAAATCTACACGTTATTCCTTTAATAGAATTAATTCCATATATTGAGAATTCTCATTCTTTCTATTCATTTCTACTATAGAACTTTTCTACTATAGAACTTTAAAGACAGGAAATAGGAACAACATGCAGTATGCCATTAATAACTTCTTGAAGTTATTAAGAAAGAAAAGAAAAAGAAGCAGAAGCAGAAAATTATCAAAATAAAAAAAAAATTATATAAAAAAAATTATAAAAATAATGCGAGAATCCCACTGGATTGAGCAGGGAACTGTTTTCCATTTTTACAGCACTTCCCTCACTTCCAGAGGCAGCAGCTTTGATAGTCATGTCTTCATCAGGTCCTGAAGGTAACACATTGAGAAAAGGTTACTCCAAAATAGTCTTAGAACAAATAGTCAGATTAAACTCTTAAAATGTTACTTGAAGTCAGTCTCAAAACTATTTTTCGTCATGTTTAATAGGCAGTTGGGACACAAAGGAAAGACCCATCAAGTCAAAAGCCCATCTCCAATGGTGACCAAGTGTGGATGTCTCTACAGGTGTGAGAATACAGCTTGTAAGTAATGCCTCCTCAGGACATTTATCTCAACTGCCACTCACTACCCCAGGTCTTCCTAAGCCACATATATTATCATGGCATCTCTTCTGTTTTTTCCTCTGGCTTTCAAATCAGTACATTTTTGTCAGGCTCAAGGATCCAAATCTACACGTTATTCCTTTAATAGAATTAATTCCATATATTGAGAATTCTCATTCTTTCTATTCATTTCTACTATAGAACTTTTCTACTATAGAACTTTAAAGACAGGAAATAGGAACAACATGCAGTATGCCATTAATAACTTCTTGAAGTTATTAAGAAAGAAAAGAAAAAGAAGCAGAAGCAGAAAATTATCAAAATAAAAAAAAAATTATATAAAAAAAATTATAAAAATATCAAGAAGCAGAAAATTATCAAAATTTCAAAAATGCATAGATAGTTTCTATAATGAACAAACTTCCTTATTAAGCCATCAGTTAGTTTTTCAAACTTTTTTTTTTTTAAAAAAACAACATTGTCAATGGCTTAGGAAGCTTTTTGTTGTCAGGGGATTCTTTGGTTGTTTTTGCTAGGTTTTTTTGTTTTGTTTGGGTCTTTTTTGTTTTGTCTTGTTTGTTTGGCTGTTTGGGGTTTTTTTGTGGTGATGGTGTTTTTCCCCACCTCTTTCTTGACAGTATCTGCCCAAACATGTTTAACCCGTTTGGTTAAGTTCATAAATATCTTCAGATGGGGAGAGGATTTGGTCTGTCAGTAAGGGATGATCTGATTCAAACAGTTGTTTATGAGCAGGTATGAAGTACTCCTAATGAACTTAGTTCAAAAGAGAATCTTGAATTATCTTCAGAGGTAGAACTGTAATCCTGTATTTTACTTTAAAAGCTAAAATCAGAGATTTATGTTACAATGTGTAACAACTTTCATACACTCCTTCTATTTTGGTTCCTTCTGAATTGCAATTACTAATGCAATTGTACTGAAGTTTATTTACTGTAGCATTAGGAGCTGCTGTTTTCTTGGGAGAACCTGCAATAAAGCACTTGATCTATAGTAAACAATAAGCCATTAATTATTTCTAATTAAAATCAGTAACAAGACTCGAAATATTTTTAAATTATGGATAATTTTCACTACTAGAAGTTCACTACAACAAAATATGCATCTATGTATGCATATTGTATGCATATGCATCTGCAGAGAAGTATATTACCTACTGAACTCAGTATCTATAATGGCCATATTCTTGAGATTAAGAAATTTAGGCATAGTCATTTATAAATGTAATTTCTTTCCTGCAAATATGGATCTTGATCTGTCAACTCAAAGCCCATTTCAGAAAAAGAGGTCTAAAAAAAGAATGACTCAACAGCCTGTTTTCTAATTGCAGATATCGTTATTGATAAAGTATCAGTAACAAATCCTTTAAAGTTGTGCTGCTGCTGTTCTTTTCCACCTCCTACAAGTTCCCTATTAAGCAATAGTTATCTGTATTCTATCTCCCTACTGCTAGAATTTCCTCTCTAGAAAATTCTGCAGCTTTCACAGAATACAACTTCTACATGAACTTTTCTGTAAACCACCAGTAGCTTTAAGATACAGTTTCAAGGAGCATCAGAAGATCACGATGATCTTCAACGATGCTTCAAAGTTAGACATAGACACATTCTTTGCACACTGGACAGTAGCATGCCTTTCGCAGATGACTGAGGTTCAAGACAAGTAGTTAAACTATTGATTGCCTTTATGAGTTTCAAACTATTAGCTACATCTCTGCCCCAAAGTTAAACTTTTTTGTTGTTCTCCAAGAATAATAAAAAAAAAAGTATTTCATGTTGTTGAAGAGGGAACTTCCCCTCACAAGAGCTCGTGAGGGCAGTGGTCATTACCCAGCACTTCTGGCAGACGTTTGGAGCCAGTGCCAGACCACACAGCTTCTGTGCCGGGATCCGACAGACCTGCAGGGGCTCCCCGCACACCCACCGCATCCCCTCCCGCTTTGCTCCAGCCGGCCTTTCCCCTGCCTAGACGTCTCCAGGAAGTACCTTCACTGCTGGGCGCGTTCGGGCCATTTCTCCTACCCGAGTTCTATGGTCTTCAGCGGTGAGAAAGATTCCCTTTTTTTGTGTGTGTGTGTTACAAAAACTGCCAGCTATGAGAGAGTGCTTTAGGGTAACGAGTTTTCCCTTGAGTCTCAGGTAAGAGAGTTTTCTCACACTTCTAGACAAAATGAAGATTCCGCTCCACCCCGGGCTTCCCTTCCCTGCACTGACCCCGTGGCCCGGCCCGGCCCGGCAGCTCGCGGGCCCGGCCCGTCTCTCCCT